ACACACACACACACACACACACACACACACACACACACACACACACACACTGACAGGGTCATTGCAGTATACGTTTTTGCTGCCTGTTGCAGCGTTTTAGCGCTGCACGGCAAAAACGAATAAAAAGGGACTATGCAGCACAGGTGAGTTATCACTCTTCAATTTATCGAAAGCACAGGGACAGGCTCTTGTTTTTGTCCGGAGCAATATTCGTCAGAACTTGTCGCGGAGTACGTGAACGAATTGTACCACTACATATGCTTTGTGATTTTAACGTTTTCCTTTTAGTAAAACATCAACTGTTATTGTTAAAATTTTCCCAGTAATTCTCATTCGATGACATAATTTTTAGGTTTAAATCAGCACAAGCAAACGGCGAGTACAAGGACTTTTACGTCTGGAAAAGGGTCTCGGATGTGCAAGGTGATCACAATTACGTTGTGAACGCCGACGGAGACGAGTATGCTTATTTGGCTTACGAAAGAAAAAATCCGGTACTGAACTGGACCAATCCTCGGGTTCGGGAGAACATTCTTGAAGCGGCAAAAGGATTCCTAAACCTAGGAGTTGATGGTTTTCATGTGGCGCATGTCAGTCAGATCATGAAACAGCAACAAGCTTTTCAGGTACAGTATCTGGAAATTTTTTTTCGCTACTAAAAGCACGCCGACACTTGCTGGTGTATGATCTATAATGCCGGCAGCTTGCAAAACCAATCCTTCACCAATTCCTTGGAGCATCACAAATGCTGGCTTATTTTGCACGCCTGAGATTCGAACGCCACTCGATCCGTTCTTTGAATAATACTCGTACCGTTGGCAGTTTTACTAGCACCGTTACTAGAGCTTTAATTGGTTGCCTTTCTGTCTCTCCAGAAAAATGAATATTGGAAATTGGATTTTGAATAGATTAATCGAATTTAGTCAGACTAAAAGATTGCTCTATCAACTTCAAGAAGTAAAAAATTCAGACAGTTACAAAACAGCACTTTGGACATTATAAGTAATGCTTTAATGCAAATTCAGGGACGAGCTGCACTCTCGATGCTTAGCGAATTTATCCAGAATCTTCGTCAGTATGTAAGCAGTAACGAGACACTCGGTGGACGCGAATTGGCTGTTTTTTCAACGCTTGATGACCTTGTCGAATTGCACGATCTAAATTCCACAGAATACAGCTCATCCAATCTAACATATGTCATCGATAATTCGGCTTCTGGAATTAATAATGTTAGTATTTTCATAACTTTGGGATTGTTTTTTCTTTTTTTTTATATAGCCTGCTAACAGAGTATTCACGAAAAGGAGAATCAAGTAGGAGGGTCCGCTGCATTTTGCTTTGAGAGGCGTTCAAATTAATTGTATAACGGGGCTTTTGCCTTTCGTACATAAAGCTGCCTACTTCAGGAATCGTGTCTGAATGAAATACCGAAGTGCTTGTACAGCACGTTGTATGCATCACTTGAGCTATTCGAGAATTCGCAGTTGCCTCACGCGTGGCAGTTTTCAAGCTATCATGGCTCACGACTGAGTACACGATTTGGCCAGGCAACAGCCAATCTGCTCACACTTGTACAGCTCTCTCTGCCTGGCGCCGCGGAGATTTATTATGGACAAGAGCTTGGTCTCGAAGACACAGCCGATCCGGCGAACAGTTACACAGGTCTGATGCATTGGGACGACAGTGTCTATGCGGGATTCACAGCTGAAAACGAAAAGCCCTTTTTCTCCACAGCACGAAATTACAAGGAGAATAATTTCGCGGTAAGTGTGCATCCATTTTTCAAAGAATTTACACGTATGTGCAAATGGGAAATTTTATTTACATTCTAGAACAAAGGTGGAAGATATCTAGGAAGGTAGCAGATTCTTGTCTACAAACAGTAATGGCATGACTGCATGCTAAGAGCGATCAGAAAGGAAAATTAGGTTTTTTTTCAGGACAGTATTTGTTTCTTGAATGCACCAGCGCGAAGAATTAAGACTTAACCGGAAAGTCGCTTTTAAGCACTATAACTCGGTTGCACACAAAGTGTGGAATCTAGCGCTCGATGTATTTTTTAAAATGATTTTTTGAGGTTGAACTTACTGTGTCAGGAACACTGAAAGACCTGCGTCAGTCAGTGCGGTAAATCCAAACGAGATCTGTTTATAAATTGAAAATACGGCGAAATTTTCAGATCCGAATAGGAAGCCTTTTACAATTAGAGAATAGGTGGTTGGTAATATCGCTTGCGCTTGAAAAGCATGCGGATGAAATATTTTTGAATTTTTTTTAACTCGAATTTTTTTTTAACTCGTCTGTATTGGTGTTGCTTAGGGACTATAAAAATGTGTTAACAGAACCCGAATTCTTTTAAACAGAAAGGAAAATTAGGTTCTCGAAAGTACTCAAATCTCGAAAATATTCACACGTCTGTGAAGGAACTGTGTTCATTAAAACATTTGACTGTTAGCGACACTGCAAAACGGCATTATATAACTTCAACAGCCAAACCGACTAAAAAAGTCTGTTAAAGCGAACTGTAAAGGGGCACAGTTCCTCACATCAACAGCGCTGCTATATGATAACAAACTGCCAAATTATGATTTGCCCAATTCAAGCGTTATAAGCGCATGCAGTCAGAGAAATGATTAACATACAGAAGAGGCAACAGTGGACGCAAATGAACTTCACCAGTAATAAGGTGTAGGTGAGGACTACGAGAATTTTAAAAATGCGGTAGTTGAGGAACTTTATCAAAGATCTGTAGAATATGAACTCAGATAACAGTGATGAATGCTGAGGGTGGGGTCAAAGACCTTTGCAAAATCAGGCTTTTGCATAATCGGCTCTTGCACAGAAAAGTGGAGGCACTAATAACAGAACTGTGCGTGTCCGTACTAGTGGTGTTGCTAAGATGCTACCGCACGTCGGGCGCAGCTATGCCAGTCTTTTTGAATTTGAGTTGCAACCTCCAATAAGTATTCATCGCTCGTTTAGTCTGCGTACGTCGCCTCTTCGAAGGGCTGCTGGAATGGTCGTCTCCATTCAGTGCGTATCATTCAGCGATTGATGGGAAGGCTAGCAACATATTTTACTCATCGGATTTTACTTTTTTTGCGTGGTCACAGTGGTATGCAGTACAATACCCATCTTACGAAGAACCTAATTGTTTATATGGTCGTGAAGGAATAGCAGCTTAAAAGTAAAGAGTATCCGACAGGTTGAGATTAATTTCAGTGAACTGTGGTCCAAAGTGATAGATAATCGCCGTGAGCAGCAAGCATTTTTTGCTCAGTATTTTAGTCCTCAACTGTTAGCATTTCCAAAGAACTCGAATTAAAAATCATATTCAGGAGGAGAGAGAGAGAGAGAGAGAGAGAGAGAGAGAGAAAAGATACGTGAGATATTCCCGGAGTGCTCTCTAGAATGCTTGGTGCGCATCGTGTATTTGAAGCGCACACTGCCACCCGAGCACGCATCGTTCCTCTCGTGCCTCATGAAAAACACATAGTCCCGTATTTGTAGTACTGAGAAATTCAGTGGCGACTGTACAATTTATCCAAAGTAGTAAAAACAATATTTTAATTGCAGGCACAGTTGAAAGCGTACCACTCACCACTAAAAACTTTCAAAGCGGTGGCAAAACTGCGCCAACGCGATGATCATTTTGTGCTTGGCGAGACGCGAATGGCACCACTTGTTGAGAACGTCATCCTATTTAGCCGATTCCAGCGCGTCAGTAATGCTACCGCTGGAGGAGTATGTTTTAGAGGAATTCTGCTTTACTAATACAGTCTTCTCCTAAAGATTCAGATGCGTGTTTAACCTCCTGTGTCCGAATGGAAAAGAGGAAACAGATGAGCAGAAGCATCGCCTCATACATAGATTAATAGTAACTAATTCGACTAATCTACACTGCATTGGTTCATTTGTCGTATTGGGCTGACGAGGTTCATTTGATGTGCTGGGTTTAAATATCGACGTAGTGGGACGAAACGTCTTAACTCCTCATTTTCTTGATTTCCCTTCATTATCTTCCTTTGTATGCGTTTTTGCTGGCTATAGTAGCGCTACAGCCAGCAATAACGCATATTGTCGAGAGGCTGTCTGTGTGTGCGTGTTCGGAAGCGAGTGCATTTTGTCATCCACTTTCATCTCAGCAACGAGAAAAGCTGGGAGGCTGAAAATTTGGGTATATGTTCCAACCTCATGTGTCATCCTCCCTTTTCAAGAACTTCCCCCACACGCGCCTAGATCTCGCGTACGGGCCGTCCAAAAAATATGCAAGTTTCGTTGGCGGAAATGATCACGGTATCAATTTCGCGAATCAGGCCAGAGACAAAGCTAAAACTTTGCAGGGATATTTTCTATTCACGTGTGAGCTAAACATTTTAAACTCAACTGTCGCGCACGCATGTGCAGCGCGTACGACCATGTCAAAGTTTTCGACTTGGTACTATGCTAACTCGAGAACTTGCCGGAAAGCAATGGCTGAAATTTTGTCAGAATGTTTGTCTCCCACATAGGAAATAGTATACCTAAAATAAATATCGATTTAGCATTTGCGCCATGGTTTAGGACACTTCAAAGATATTTGTAGCGAAATGGATGTTTCGCTTGTCGGATAAGGTGCGAGGCTGGAAATTCGCTGGGGTATTCTACTTTCGAGTGCGGTGTTAATTTTGCTTGGAGGTGGAATTCCCTCCAGGTAGGCGTGTAGAATACTCAACTTTACCGAAAAATCAGAAACGAGTGCGTTTTGCAGCGAACGGCCGCCCTCATTCAAATATGTAAATGAACACCAGTTCATTTGCATACTCGGATTTTTTCACAAACGACCGCTTGAGCAATACTTCCACTTCTTAGTGAACTGGGAATTCGCATTTTTTCATAAAATTTCCATTTTCATTTTTTCAAAAAGCTAGCATTTACCGAAAAAACGACCGAGCTTCATGCAAAAAACTGGTAATCACGTACCCGCAGATCCATGCGGCTCTATAACGCAACATCCTCATCCCAACCGATGCCCATTTTGCTGCATGCCGAAAGAAACCAAAGCATGGCCAATAATGAGCACAAGCGTTTGGCTGCGGTGCAGAGATTATTCCTGATTAGCGACCCCCGAGTTTAGTGCAAAAACGCATGATCGCACCGGCAAGCCTGGTGCGCTCCAGACTGAGTTTCTCCCGTTCTGCTGTACCGTCTTAACATGTTAACTAGAAAAACGTGAAGGGATGAAGGCTGTAAGTATCGGGCGTTTGCCTCATTGTCATAACTGGGTGCGAGCCCCGAATTTTGTCTATCTCCAGTCCTGAATTTTAAGTGATCTGTTGTAAAGTAACACGACTATTGGATTTGGGATGCATGTAGGTGTTGGAAAGTAAGCAATGAAGACTAGTCCCGAAATTGACAGAATATATTAACATTATTTTCTTTTCACACATAAAAACGCGTTTTGCTTAGCTCTTACACTACTTGCACGATTTTTCGACTTGAGAGTGCCTCAATCAATGCTCCACATGTAGATCACCCGATAAGGAAGATCCCGAGAATAGCCCAGCTTCACGCAATACCTCTCAAAATATGTCTAATTTCAGCAGCTTTCTAAATATGGCGAATAAAGCTATGTTGCTGAGACCAAAATCAATGAAAACGTCAAATAAGCGAGCTGCAAGCTTACAGTTGCAGAATCAGCTCACTTACATATAACTGGGATAACGAAATACAATTTTTTCAGGCGTATTTGATCGCTGCAAACTTCGGCTCGTCAAATGTTGAAGTTAACGGAACGTTAGTGATGCCGGATGACCGCTTGAACGCTATGGCGGAAATTGTTGTGACCACTTCTAACGTTGAGCAATACTCGACGAGAGACAGAATGGAGTTACTGCATCAAAAACTCCTTCTGCAGCCCAAACAGGGCATTATTCTACGGTTCTGACGAGCCACCGCACTTGTCCTGGGTTTCCAAGATGTTAAAAATATTTGTAGCTGTTAACAGATATTAATTGCTACTGCAGCAGCAGTAAAAAAAAAGGTTGTACAAAGCATCTTTTTTCGAATCCCGAACATGCTACTTTTTAGCATGGACCTATCAGGCTCAAAACAAAAAACGGCTTCTAATATTGTCAAAACTTCTGCAAAAAAGTGGTATTCAAAACATTATTGTTTCTGAAAGCACATTTTTTTCCCACATTTTACACGAATCTTTCACATACACTCACAAGATTGCAATCCTACGGTAGCACTAAAGCGAACTCAAGAAACCACCGGAAATCTCCACACTTCGTAAGGACAAAAGCCGTAAAAAGTAAAAAGCCACAAACAAGAAATACACAAGTGATAAGTCAGATATCCTGTATCGATCATTTATAAGAGCATGAAATACCGACGACAATATACAAACATATCGAAACAGAATAAGATGTAACATATAACGTCGAGAAGACAGTTGGGAAGACTACAATAACTGTAATGGGAACTGGAACCATCGAGGGTCATATATTACTAGGCTTTCTCGGCTTATAGTGTATCCCAAGTAAAAATGAGTTAAATTTCAGCAGAATCAGCGCATTGCTTTCATGACAACGTTTGTTCCTTTAATTCTCGGGTAAAACTGTACGCCATACATTATAAGACATTACAGAATAAAGGAAACAGATGGTGAATCAAAGTTAGCATACATTGGGCAAGACTAATAAGGTGCAGCAACGAATGGGAGTAGTTTAAGGAAGGAAAGCAATGGTAAAAATTAGCGAAATCTCAAACGCCAAACTGAGGGAACTCTTCTCCACCACCAGAATAAACAGCACTCAAACTCCTCCAAGACAACACAGATCCAACTTTTTCCTGTTAAACAGCAGTATCATTAATTAAAGCAGAATACGAATTAGTGCCCTGCTGTGGATAGTAAAAATATATGATTCGTGCGGAAGGGCGTCAGTTAAATGGTATGTGTGCATATGTGATACTCGAGAACGCGTCAATTGTGTGATGCATTTACGGGAACCAGAACACGCAATCATAAACAGTGCTTTATTTGCAAAATACATACACAAAACGATTGGGATGCCCGGGCCAAACTATAATGCAGTTACGACTAATAACGAATCACTCCGCAAATTCCTTGGTGAGTTGAGACAGAAGTACCAGCTTTTAATGAAGGATACAGGGGCCCTATATGCCTACGTTAAGCAGCCAGAAAAACATACAGAAGCCAGCTGTCCCTCCAGTATCAGTTCTGTCTCATCTCGTATCAGATCTTCACAAGCGAGTTTTATGATGCTGTTCGATTATGCCAGTTGTGAAGCCTGCTAGTTCTGACACCACAGTGGCAACCGCAGTTCTGAATGCTCCTTGCTCTTCTTGGCCCAGGCTCACATATGGCAGTCGGGGAGCAATATGATTCATGACAAATTCCTTATCGTCTGTTTATATTTTTTCCTCTTCCAGTCCAGCTGTTAGTAATTCCGATACTCTCGAAGTAGTCCAATCATTGGCTTGCTTATCTGTCTCCGGTGGAAAATTTCCTTTGCCCTCAGTGAGTGGAGGAAAGTAAGTTCTGTCGGCGGAAGTTGCAGTACTTCGCACTCCGCCGTGTTATCCATTACACCCAGATTAATCGGAGCTGTCAGTAAAAGGTACTCTTGGTCGTACCGTCCAAATCCTCCACAGTAATGCTTAATCATCAAATACAACTGGAAGCCATCTCCTAACGCCTCTTCGCAGGCATAACTTGGCTGCCGCTGTCAGCAATCACCGCGGCCGCACACGGTGCCTTTGTTATCGCACTGCAGGAGCTATGATTTGGCTAATATCTCCCGCAGCATTGTAGAAACTGCAAAAAACGATCTACACTCCGGAACTTGTGACTGGAAACTGGAAGCAGGGATATTCGCGTTCTTGCATATATATGGCAATTTCAAATGACGGATTTGTGAGTCATGTTGTAAAAAGCAGAGTAATTTCAATTAATTTTTTGCATAGTTCCCCGCAGTTTTTGTCGCTACCGGTATCGGTTTTTCCGGCAAATCCTTTAGCTAAACAATTTAAGACTGGCCGCCAAAACTGGCAGGAAACACCCCCTTAAAATTTCAGCTTTCTAGCTTTCCTGG